ATCAGGATATTAGGAGGTCGAAGGAGCTCACTTTTGGAGTCGACCAGGAGTCTGTGTGGTGCTGCTATCTAGCGGCAGCGTCTAGAACTAAAATTTTACTGCTTCCTTGGATGGTGCTGGCCTCTTGCGGCAATTTTATATACTACGTTCATGTTTCGGGTCCCCTGCCGGGGCGGCCTGGATAGTGCTGCTATCTTGCGGCAACTTTAGGAACTAAGTGCTGTTTTTCATTCCCTTGGATAGTGCTGACCTCTCTTAACAGTTTTTGAAACTAGTATTTCATATTATACGTTTATTGGATGGTGCTGCTCTCTTTTATTGGGTTTTTAAACTATTTTACAAATGTTTTGTTCCTATACTGCTGTTACCTTTATACAGTTATAGAAATTATTATTAAAACTCCGTTTTAGCTTGCAAACCATCACTAAAATTGTCATTTTCGATAATTGATGTTGTTTAAATGTTTATTAATTTAATTCTTACGGGCCTGCACAAGGTTCTAAAATGTGTTAATAAGTTAAAATTGCACATAATAAATTCTGTGATATATTTCATTCTATAAGAAATTAAAATGTTATATAGCCTAAGTTAGTGTCTGATTCTCTTATGTCTTATGTAAAACATTATTTCATAATGTTGTTTCTTAAAAAATTACAGAATGTAGTTTCATAATTTATCTCGAGTTTCTCAAAAGTGTAAATAGTGAATGAAGTGAAGTTTCCAATGCATATAGATGTATCCACGTGAACTGTGTTCATAAATACAGATACGTAACAGTTGTGTAATGTATTTTTAAATATATATTGTAAGACATAATATAAGAAAACAAATGAGTGTGTTGTTCTAAAGTGTACCAAGTGAGTGAAGTGGAGTTTTGTATGCAACTAATGATATCGACAGTGAACTGTATTTATAAATGTTATATGTATTACTATATATATATGGCAAAACATAACTGAAGAAAACAAATAAATGTGTTTCTGTGAAGAGTTCTTTTTTACTTTACCCCATTCTTCCTTCGCAATCCAATACTCATGCTCATTTCTGTATGTATTCTTAACTAAAGATTTATACTATCTGAATATATCTGATTCAAATTTAAATTGTTTTCAAATGTTGAAGTTAGTTCATTTTCTATCTATCAAATTATACATGCTAGTAAGGAATAATTCATTCTTGGTTTTCTCATTCAATGTTATTCTTTTAAATTTCTACACTCGATTTCATTTAAAATATTTTTATAGTTGAAATATTAACATTTTAAAAATAGTTTTTGAAAATTATATTGTGCTAATTGTTAATACTGTATAATATTTTGACTACAGTCGATTGACTGTGGTTTTTATCATGGAACAAATTTTCAGGATTCAATGATTATTATTTTATTACAAAATACAACTCCCGATGCAAACTTTTAAGTCTTCATCAAGGATGAAATTAAATCAGACATACAAGTGATATATAAACGTATTTATAGGCATAAATAAATAACAAGAAGAAAAAAGATGATCAATAAAAGTAAATTAAGGATAAAGGAAGAATATTTGTTCATAAATTGTATAAATAATGATAGAGATATGAGTTATTTATGTCCTCATCGCTTAATTTATCGTTATTTGCTTCTATTATTTTTATTTTTCTATGAAAGAAAAGGAAGGTAGAAAAATGAACAGTCTGAAGCTCAAATTTTATTTATTATTATTTTTATGGGAGGAGGAGGGGGATAAATTCGGGTTATAATGTAGAAAACGTTTACACAAATTTATTTATTATATATTTTACAAAATTACAAACAGCATTTAAGAGAAATAAAAATAACCTATATTACACTACATTTTTCTCATTTATAATATATATTTACTGAATAAAGAATACAAGTACTTAAATTAAATTTATATACATAAAAACAAAATAATGAATTATAGATATGGAATGTATTGTACCATTAAGTCACAATGTTTAGTTTATAAAACTAATACTTTTCAATTTACAAACTAGGTCTTTGACAATAGCAAAACTGATGAACTCATTTATATATCTTTAAGATATAATAAAATTCATGTTACTTTTTAATTTTATATTGATCTTCTGGGTTCGATGAACAAAAAAGTAATAATACTTGTTCGCCATTTACAATATTTCTGCTCATGATAAAACGTTTCTTAATCATCCAACATACGCAATCCATCTGAGAGGTCTTGAACAATAATAAACTTAATTTGTCCAACGGTGATGAATATTCTACTTAAATATTTCAAATAACTATAAAATTAAAGTATTCATTTAGATGAGGACTGCCGTTTGCGGTACACAATCATTTCGACACACTTGTACATGGAGTGCTGAATGCATCTGGTTTAATCCGAAAGACTGTTTTCGGAGTTTCATGAAAAAGTGTGAATGAAGTGATTGTGAACCACATGTAACCTATGCAGTTCTCATTTAAATAATCACCAAAATTAATATTAGAAATATAAAGAAATCTGTGGATAAATAACTTTATGCTTTTAATTGGATCTAGAAAATGACAAATTGAAATAAAAAAATTATAATTATAACAATTTATTGAATGAAAATCCTATTTATTCATAATTCCTTTATATTTGTCTATTCTCCACTCCATAAATACTATATCAATTGTAAACTTGATGTAAAAAAAACATTTAAATAACGAAAAATAAAAAAAAACAGTACTCCACTTGCTTAGTCGTCTCAGATCATTGTGTACGTCGGTGTTACATCTCAGGTTGATAATATAAAGGTTCATTTATAGATCATAATTTTTTTTTTGTGTGGAATACACTTTGAATTATACAGTTATGACTGTATCACTGTTACAAAATAAGACTTATTTCACATAAATAATAACAATTAAATCCTAAATAATATTAGATAAATTGACAATCTCCAGTAATAATTATATTTGTTATTTACAGAAAAAAATTAAAATTACAAAGTTTTTTTTTTATCTTACTTTAAAATTGTCTTTTTTATTTATTTTGATAGATAAGGACAAAACTGTAAATTAGATAATAGCTCTTTTTTTAAATCCAATCCATCTGAGAGATCTTGAACAATAATAAAGTTAATTTGTCCAACGGTGATGAATATTCTACTTAAATATTTCTAATAACTATAAAATTAAAGTATTCATTTAGATGAGGACTGCCCAAGTTACGTGTGTGATTCACAATCATTTTAGTCACACTTGTACATGGAGTGCTGACTGAATGCATCTGGATTAATCCGAAGCACTGTTTTTGGCGTTTCATGAATAAGTATGATTGTGAACCACGCGTACGTAACCTGTGCAGTCCTCATTTAAATAAATATCAAAATTAATACTGAAAATATAAAGAAATCTGTGGTTAATTAACTTAAATTGAAATAAAAAAATTATAATTATGGCAATTTATTCTGATCCTTTCAAGTTGAAACACTGGACATCGCCTAGCTCCTCTTGTATGGTTGGAAATCGGCATTGAATTGAGTCTAGATGTGCACACTGTCACTGTTCTCATGAGGTCTTCATTTTTGATCTGAAATGTTTAATTATTATAAAGAAATATGTTTACATGATTATTTTAGCTGATTATAATAAAAAAAATAAATAAATAATAATAATAATAATAATTGTCTTTCACATTTAACAGGGGTTAATAAAGAAATAGTTGTAAAAAAAATACACTATTTTACATGAATAATGAAAATTTATAAAAAAAAAAAAAAAAAAAGAAAACTTTGATGTGAAAAAGTACAATAAAATGAATGAAAAAAATTAATAAACCTATTACAACTTATTATTGAATAGAAGTCATTAGAAATACACATAAATAAATTATATTTATTACCTTTGTGCTGAAAATTCAGCCTATGTTTCAGATCTCCATCAGAAGCATTGGGCTGCAAAATGAAAAATAATAAATAAGATACACAAACACATATATACATACACTTATATATATAAGAAACATTAATATTTTAGGCATAGTTTACAAAGGATTAAAATAAAACTATATATATATATATATATATATATATATATATATATATATATATATATATATATATATATATATAACAGTAAGAGTATATTTAAATTTAAATTGGTCAGAAATACATAAAACATAGAATATGTCTAATTAGTATAAATAAAAAAGTAAATGAGGAAAATACAAAAAAATATGAATTAAGTATTAATTCCGTGAATTAAAATTATGGAAATAGAACTAATAAGAAACATCAATATTTTAGGTATAGTTTACAAAAGATTAAAATAAAACTAAGGAAGCTAAAAATTATATACTTTTCATATTCCAAATTGTACTACCAATCTACTTCATTATAAGGAAGATCTTTCAAAATAATAAGTTTTTGACAGCCTTTAAGATAAAATATTTTAATTTTGCTAAGAAACAACATAAATGATTCAGATAGATATCAATTAAATCTTAATTTATTTAATTAATATCTTTAAAAAAAATATGCGAAGCCAATGTGATATTGCTCTACAATATTTTAGAATGCAACAAAAAAATTCATAAGCGAAAAAATAAACAAAATAATTCATTTTTGGGATGAGACATAAAAATAAAATGAACAGAAATTGTAATAATGCAAGTTTAAAATTCATCAAATAATATCACTAAGAATTTTTACTTTAAATTAACATTAATTATTTAATTGATGACTTTTATCCTTTCAATTTAAATCTTTGTTATTTTATATTTCTCCCCCTCTCTCATTCACTCTCTCTATTTTATCTTTTTTTTACACCATAATATCAGTATAAGCATATAACACCTCTAAGGGCTTAGAACATCCAAAATAATTAAATAATAGTCTTTTAATAGAGAAATGTAAAAAAAAAATTAAATTAAATGCAAAGGTGAATATCTATCCCCTGATTGGTGGTGGTAAAGATAATAATGTGTACAGCAAAGCAAACACTATCTTATCTCAACACCTTTCAGTGCTACGGCTAGAGGTAATTAATAAACATGATGACCTCACATTTCATCAAACAAACTATTTTCCTAATAATTTTAATAAAAGGTAATTTTTTATACAATTTTAATTACTATATTATGCCCGTAAAGATATAGAAACTGTAGTTTACAATTACCATTTTTAAGGTATCGAACTTCAAAAGCAGACTATTCCCAAACATTTAATAAAATGCTACAAAAATGGTGTTTTACTTTATCCAATGACGATGGAAATTTTTATAGAAATCATCAGGAAAATTGAGAATCATCCATATTTCCTAAATGATATGAGAATATTTTCTAGTACTTTGTTTCACAGGTAATTTATCATGCCTTTTCATGGTGTCTACAAATTGTCATAGTTGAAATTCCCAAATGATTCTTGAATTTTTTTCACACACATACAAATACAAACCAATCCATACTGAAAATCTATGCTATTTTTCTACTTTACATGTACCAACTGACATAGAATTTGTGATGTGTTAATGTTAATGCATTTGTTTTAGAGCGTGAAAAAGATTAACAAAATATAGTAATTAATATGATTACAGCATTAAGTTGTTATACAACTTTAGGTTAACATTAGTAAAGAATAAAATCTCTTAAAACTTACAAATTCTTTTGACATCAATATAAATAAACAAGATAAAAACACTACTCTTACAACTAATAAAAATTGACCTCATTACTAGAAAAATATCTAATAAAAAGTAGGAAATGATTATCCTTTAACTGCCAAAAGTAGCTAGTTTTTAAAAAGTTAAGCAATATATTAAAGTTTAAAATTAATAACAACTATAAGGACTTATGCAAAATTTACTATGAATTCCCAACCATACAAATGTTTTCAAATTTTATCACAATTAAACCCACTTTTTATAGCAGAGGTAGTAGATACATACATTTCAAAAGTTTTTTTTCTTCTTTTAGATTTAGTCGTGATGGGATAGAGAAGGACAGGTATTTTGTAACATCGGAAGAGAACACAATCCCGTATACAACAACAGGATTTCAATCGTTTAAGTTCCATCTCTTGTCTCATTACCTGTTACCACAACCCATGAACAATTTTCCAGAGGATGCTATAACATTAGAAGAGTGGGTATGGTCTGATAAAATGTATTAATGATGTATCCCATATTAAGTGCTGATCAAAAATTTTATTAGTTACTTTACCTGTGATCCCCTTAATTTTTTTGACTAAGGAAATTTCCATATATTATTTTAATGGCAGCTATAAAAATGTACTCCTTTAAAATATTCGGTAACTTTGATAAACTTATAGAGTAAATACCTCATAAGATTTTTTTTCTGTTTTGGTAATAATATTATTTAATCTTTTCGGTTAAAGTGTGGAATTAAAAATTAAAAGTAGTCAATAATTTTGATTCTTATAAATTAGTAAAACTTTTTTTACATCTTGAAAACTCATATGATTTGGACATGTGAGTAATTCTTTATCATCAATTTTTTTCAAAGCCCAGAATAGATATCAATTTTTATATTTACTTTGTCTCGTATGGATCCAAAACCATCTATAACTAAAGATGTAGGATGAATATAACATCTGAACATTTTGCTCTTTTAATCTATGATCCTAACTTTATGAAATAAATACAAATTTATTTTTTTATAAAACCAAAAAAAAAAATAGTAAAATTAAAAAAAGAATCTAAGATAAATATTATAATTTCATAAACAATAGGAGTAACCAATCTTTCATATTTTTCACCTAAAACTTAAAAATATGGTAATTGATGAAGAAATAAATAAATAAAAATAAGCAAATAATATGAAGTAAATGATAGAATAATTTTTATTGGTGGACAGAGGTAGCGAAAGAAAGATTGATGTCCCAGGTAAAAGTTCATTTCCTGTGGTGACCAAGTATACCAGGAAATATGTCTCATTAACTGTCATCTCTATCAAATATTTGTTTAGTGAATAAGATTCAAAGGATTCTTGAAGGTGAAATATAATTTACATTTTCATTTAAAATTTCATCATAAAATTAATTTGCAGTGAAAATGGTCAAATCATAAATTACAGAAACATTCATACAATTCATCTGACATAATTAAGATTATTCACAGTTTTTTTTTTATACTTTAGTAGAAAACAAAATACAAAATAATGTTATTTTGGGGATTTGGCACAATAAATAATATCTTTTAAATAATTTGTATGTGATATTTTAATATCTTCTAAGAAAAAAATTTGAATAGCTCAAATAAGAAAAAACAGAAGTTCCAAAAGGAATAAAAGAAATAGAGCAAATAATAAAAGATTTTATCTATAAATGAAATTTTAAATATCTATTTTGATTTTGGTTGTATTTATGAGGCAAGGCAAGTTTGATAATACCAAATAATTCGATATTTAAAAATGTAAATATTATTAAGTATTAATTGAAGGCAACAAAAAAAACAAGATTAAAAAAAAAATGTAGCATACATACCATTTTATATTAAACTTGTATTTTGTTGAGGCAGTTCATAACTCCAGATCTGGAAATCTGCTATATGATAATTTCTCATAAATCAAAAAAGACAAGAATTGGTTCAAATAAGAAAAATGTAAAAAATGTCAGGTAATAAACTTCAATCACAAAGTTATGTAGACTCATTAAGAAGTTCAAAAGATGGCGAACTCATACCGAAAAGAAATGCCTAAAATGAATATTTAAATACAATGACAAAGCAAGATGAAAAAATAGACACAGAGTTGTCATAGAATGATTAAAGCATAAATTATATTATAATAACATGGGGCAACAGGAATCAACAATCTTATTTATTTTTAAATAAAAAATATGACAAATTATTTACATATTATAACAGTAGGATATTTTAAGAGGAAATTTGAAGATTATTTGGGGGAAACAATGATAGGTTAAATAGGGAATGGAGTTTGAAAAAAATTAGAATTAAGAGGAACTTAAAGAAAGATGGTTTCACATAGGAATGGGCGACAGTCGATAGTACTATCGATATATCGATAGTCTAAAACTATCAATAACCCTATCGATAGTTCATATACTCCCCTTTGACATAAATTATTTTAAAATTGTATACACTTGAAGGAACAATTTTAATAACACACCTTCATACTTCTGTCCATTCATTGACGTATGAGATATAGTGATAATATAATAATGTAAAAGTTAAATGTTTGGTAATAGAAAAATTGTTATTGTCTTATACATACAAAACATCACATTAAGAAAATAAGTGGATGGAGCTGTGAAGGTATGTCCAAAGCGATTCTTATCAATATATAAAACAGAAACAAAATTAAATAAGAAGAAGCCTTCATGATAAAAAATAATTTAATCTCAAATTACTTTCCTGGAAATATTTTTTTTACCTTCAGTTGTGTCTATGGAAAAAAAATGTTACATTTACCTCACCTTTTTTATTTTATTTTTTTCATAAAAAATATATATATTTATAAAATCTACAAGGATGCCATTACAGTTGAATTATATTTAAAACTAGGTGTTATAATCAAAATAAATTTAGAAAATTAGAATCTTGGAAATTAAAAGACCTAAGCATTTCTCGCCTCCTTTTTTTTTTTTACTAAATAGTGTTTATTTAATTCTAAATCAGGAAAATAAATGGAATTTATTTTTCAATATAAATGTATTTTTCTGTCAATAATTTTTTGAATTATTTCTTTAATAATGTTTAATAGTGCCTTTACATAGATTTTCAAGGATGTATCCGATATAAATGTTAATTATTATAAAGTTTATGTAGCATTTTAAAGTAAATATCTAAAGAATATAGCAAAAATAAATCCTCTTTAAGTCTGTGCTGGAAAGTTACTGAACTGTTGAACTATCAATAGAGGAAAACTATCGACTAACGCCCCTTCCCAAGTTGAACAATGGTTTGGAAAATTCCCAGTCCCGTCAATATGAAAAATAAAATATAATGCAAAACACGGTGATGGGCAAGGATGAATGTAGATAAATTTAGCCAAGAACTTCACATTGAATGTTACAAGTATCAAAATAAAATTGTAGCAGGGTTGTAAACAATATTTAAAAATTTTGATGGCTTTCACCAACTTATAATAAGTAACATTATTTTGTTGGCAGTGTACACTCCATTTTATGCTATCCAGTAGTGTAGATATTTGGGAGAGAGGTGATGAAAACTTGATGTGTCCGCAAAGCTTCAAAAATCAGAAGTAAGATTAAAATTTCAATGTATAATTTTCCTAATCCATTTGAACCTTTTACATTCATGTTTATTTTTTTTTAAATCAAATATATTTCATTATAAATCATGTGCAATCCTTTCCAAAGCATATTAGGTCATTACATTACATATAACTCTTGTAGGAAAAATTTAAGTTTACAAGCTAAAAAAATTATAAATATTCTATAATATGAAATATGATGAAATTATGAATGAAAGTTTCTATTTCATATGAGAAGATAAAGCACAAGCATATATAAGGATAATTACTTAGAAAGAAAAAGAAAGAAACTAACTACCTATATGAAATATTGTTTAAGTGATTCATAAAGTCCTATTAAATGAAATTAAAAAATTACACGAACAATAAAATACTTTTTGAGATAATTTTTTCCATGTCACATGGTTATATTTAATTATTTTGGGGGGAGTTCAGCCCGAAAGTACTCCTACCCCCAAGTCAAATGGTTTTGTCGGTATTTTTTTTCTGTTTTCAATACAGATATTGACACTATAAATACTTATTTAATTTTAAACAGATGCAAGTATAAAATAAGTTTTAACACTGTCAAAAGAATTTATGAAGTATTTTTCAACTATTATTATTTCAACAAATAACAATAAATCTTCGAAAGTTGTAAGTTTAATCTGAAAGTATGTGTAAGACAATAATAAACAATCTCAGATAAGGAAAAATTATAAATTTTACAGTTCTTGAATTTTTGCTTAATATTTAAAAAAATATTTGAAATGAATTTTGGATGTTATGGAATAATATTTCTAAGGTTATTGTAGGTTTATTACACTATTATAAAAACTCTAAAATAATTGAAAATAAGGGAATATGTATATTTTATTACTTGGAAACCATGGCTTCCAACTCTTTCAAATGTAATTCAAAAGAATTACAATATATGTAAATAATAGGAAGAATTAAATTGAAATTACTCCAGATGTAAAATGGATTACAACTATATACTTTTAAATCTAAAGTGATAGTAAATTTATTTAACAATATATAAAATTTATAATATCATTTAACGAGTTTTTCTATCTAGGAAGATATATTTTTCATTCAAGGTATTTTGTGAAATAAAATCTATTATAATAATTTATTTTATTTTTATATCAAATAACACTTAGTTCTTTGCTTACATGCCTTAATATCTTTGAACAATTTGAAAATTCTTTTCTTATCTTCAGGGACACAAACAACGTGATAGTGAAATACTGCATTAAGAATAATAATCCTATTTAACTATTTAGTTTTTATTTAAATTAAGATAAAATATAATTGTATATTAATGAAAAATAAAAATATGACAAAGAATGTAATTGATTCCTAAAGATAAGAGGGAACACACGAAAGGTTAGAGAATGTTAAAAGAAGAACAAAATATAATTTTATATGAAAATATAATAAATTATTATGGCAGAATATAGTTCACAAAATACTTTGAATAAGAAATGCATATTGGGTGGAATTCAACAGAAGGAAACATGTTTTGAGTAAACACAAGTCAAAGTTAAATAGCTTTAGAAATTTGAAAACTATTAAATAAGCATATAGTCAGTTTGCAAAATGTCTCTAACAATGGGAGGCTACAATCAATGAATCACTGATTTCAACCAATTTTTTTTTGGTGACAGTACATTGAAAAACATTTGAAACGCCCCGAGGCATTCTTTCCAATTAACTGAAGAAAAAAAAATTACTCCCACATTGCTATGTCAATTGGTTCAAATTTTGCCCATATTGTAGCTATCTGCCAAATATAATATCTATTCAAAACCGGTCTGGTATCTAGAGCAAATATTTTTCAGGAAAAAACCAAGTTGATATTGGTTTTTCACATCTCAAATAACCCTTAAATACGAGTTTTTATCGCAATCGAAAAATTAAAATATTCTTCACGAAACCTTTGGCTAGGCTGGAGCCTTCGAAATTTGGTTGACATTCACAAACATTGTGAAAACCTTAGAATGGCTCCACCGATCCACACAAAAATTATTAGAGATTTAGGGCTCTATTACTGTAAGTATTTATATAAATTATTATTCTTAATTATTTTTACTTATGCTTTATAATTTTTTTAATTTATTTTTTTATAAATTGATTAAATTCAAAGTAACTGACATTTTTTTTTTTTATGACTGTTTATTTTGCGAATATTATTTATGTATCTCTGAGGCTCCTTAGCCCACAATTCTGTATTTTTGTATTATTCTAAAGGGACTTGTTCCAGAATAAATGAAGTATTATTATTATTTATTTGCTTAGCTTTCTCATATTTGTGGTATAGCATCCACATCCTGGAAAAAACTTTCAATGGAATGTAGATGAAGGTGAAAATTAAAAAAAAAAAAATGACTCATTTAGAAACTTGCTGGCAATCCTGCATGTATTGAGGATTGCTTTTTATGCTGCTTTTAAATGCACCAAATCAAGTCCAAGTTCTTGGGTATCCTCTACTGTGCTTTTCAATATTAAACCATTGGAAGATATGATTTGTGGAGTAATCTTCACTTTTTCCAAATGATATAGTTTTTAACTCAAAAGCAAGTTCTCGATATTTTCCAATTTTTTCGGCCCTGGTGGTTACCATTTTGGTATCACAAGGTACTGCAATATCTATAATTTCTCCAGTTTTATTTCTTTTGTTCATAACCAAGATACCCGGCCGGTTATGCAATACTCTATGGTCTGTTATTATATTTTGATCCCAGTAAACTTTTACATTTCTATTTTCTTTAAATTTTTCCGGGGCAAAGAGATAATAGGGTATCTCTTCACTCTCCAGTAGTCCTATTTTCTACATTGGTGGTATATTTTTTCAACATTATTAAACCTCATGAGGTATTCCGCTCCTGCCAGAGTATCGCAGCCATTGGTAACATGTTAGAAGAGTCATGCATCTTCCAGCAAAGTCAATGCTTATCCGTGGCCAGATTTTCTTTTAATATATTCTAAAGAGACTTCCAGAATAAATAAAGTATTATTGTTATTATATTCTACAGAAAATTATACAAACCCTTGCAAATATAAAATAAAAATTATAGAGAAATTCTTTTTAATTTCTAGTTTTGATTTCTCATATAATTTATATTTAAGAGTTTCAAAGGACACTAAAAACGAATCTAACTTGCTTTTTCATAACAAAAATTTACTGGAAGTGCCTTTCGGATTTTGTAATATATGATACATTATAGCTCATTTAATACAATAATATTTTTTTCTCATTCAGCAGAAAAAAATTAAATTGATTGATGTACAATAACCTAAAAATCTGGGCAAAGCAAAGGTAAAAATAAATAACACAAATTTTGTTAGAAATTATATGAACATTTTTTTTCGGCTACTAGGGCCCACAGAACAAACAATGGGATATTTATCTAATATTTTCTGATGTAGTATCACCAAAAAAAATTTGGTTGAAATCAGGAACCCACAGACTGTATCCTCTCGTTGTGAGTGCACAATGTTCATATTTAAAAGAGGGTCAAAGTCATCAAAATACAATGATTTAATTTTATGAAATGTTAAATTTTAATTCTACATTTTATCAGTCTAAAATATTGCTATTACATCAACAGATTATTTAAAAAATAAACTTTATTAAGGTTTGGTTCTTCTTATTTATTTCTCTAAATATACAAAAAAAAATATCTATTTTCAATGCTATATTATTTTATTTTCAACCTTGATTTTTGATTGAAGATATATAAATCTAGATTGTTCTTTTTTGTTGAGAATAGAAAGCACTAATCCCATCCAAAACCACCAGTAATTCAATTTTACACATTTTTTGGATTGTTTATCTCCTACTAAATGCTGTTCAATCAGTTGGATTGATTGGGCTGGTTTTAATTTATTAAAGGTGAAGTAAAAGGTTTAAATAGATAAGCTCATCATAAAAGCTCTATTAAAAATATATTTCCTCAGAATATTAAAAAAAAAATAAAAAATAATTGACTGTTATTTGTTTTAAAGCACATCATTAATCCATAACAGAAGAAAAAGTGCTTGCCCAATCGAAAAAGGAGTGGTGAGAACAAAAGGATTCGGAACCGTTAGTTTAAATCATGTGATTTCTGCAATAGCAGCTGCTCTACAGCCATTGCGGGTCCAACCAGATCAAATGTTAGAAGGAAATATGAATAACAATAGATATGAAGAGAATATGTACGTTGATAATAAATGGGTTTCTACATTTTCAGGTGAAAAATGTGAACACAATTTGTTTGCTAAGGTATTATTTTAATTTTAGAGCAATAAAAGCTATCTATATCATTCCTCTTTAATCTGGGCAAAGAATAATAATCAAGCAGTCAATAGAGAAGTCTACTTGAATGATTTTCTTCATAATAATTTTTTAATTAATTAATAACAAGTTTAGCAGTTTATAGTGTTTCTTAATGCAGACCTGGACAAAAATTATTTTAATTATTATATTATATAATGTAGGATATAAATTACCTGGTTATATAAATAATAATTGTTTTTTTTGGGGGGTCTCTTCTATTAGGACCTTATTGCTCATATTAAGTCTTCCTATATCTGTACAGTTATGTAAATACTTCTTTTATCCCTTATTTTTTTTTAATTTTTTTTTTTTATTGTAATATACATTTTGGCCAGATGTAATGTTAATTTTATGTACAATATTGTTATTCTCAAGGGATGTATTCCCAGAATAAAGTTGATTCTTCTATTCTAAAAAAAAACTCAATTTTTACATACGACCTTTAATACTAACAGTAGCGATATTTATTAATGTTAATGATATGGAGATCGCTGACCGTAGATTCAATTTCAGAAGAAGTTAGTCGGGAGGTGAGGGGGGGGAGGGAGTGCGGTCAAAACTACTATATTATAAAATAGTATATTTTATTACAATAGTGGTTAAATAGTTGACTGTCGTGAATAATGAGAAGAAGAATAGTTGGGGTGATCAGTCAAATAAGAAGGCAAAAATAAATGATAATATTTATTTTGTCATTTGCCGACGTTTCGACCCGAAGTTCAGGCCATCATCAAGGCTAAGAAAAGAACCAGATAACAGGGTATGAGAAACATAAAAATTACAGTAAAATGCAGTTGTTAGAATAATGACAATAGTAAGAACAAGAGACAAATAATAATAAAAGGTACAAAGTGTGGAATGATGAAGTAAACATAGTCAAAAAGGTGACATAAGTATTTTTGACTATGTTTACTTATGTTGTTTTTTTGACTATGTTTACTTCATCATTCCACACTTTGTACCTGTTATTATTATTTGTCTCTTGTTCTTACTATTGTCATTATTCTAACAACTGCATTTTACTGTAATTTTTATGTTTCTCATACCTTGTTATATGGTTCTTTTCTTAGCCCTGATGATGGCCTGAACTTCAGGTCGAAACGTCGGCAAATGACAAAATAAATATTATCATTTATTTTTGTCTTCCTATTTGACTGATCACCCCAACTATTCTTCTTCTCTATATTTTATTACATTGTCCAATGTTTCCATTTTTATTACAGTTTTATCATTTTATTACAACATCCAACATACGAGTCACCACACGGCCTTCAACAATGCATGACGGAATGCCCTAAGGAAGACTTACAATGTAGGTCGAAACGTTGGACAATATAATACAATTTACTATTATATAATATAGTATTTTTGACCGCAGCCCACCACTAACTTCTTCTCTTATTAATATTAAGTTTAACTACCTACATATTATTTTACTATACTGTTTTACTTACCTATTATTATTTTCCACTATTTTCTCAATATTGTTGTCTTGTCTTTAATTAGCCCCGATGAAGGCCTGAAACTTAAGCCAAAATATCGGCAAAAAGAAAATAAATATAATTTATTTTTACTTTGACGAAAATCCTTAATCATTCTCAACAATTATCCCCTGTATAGATTATAAGTTTAATAGTGCTATCATTAGAAATTGATTTGTCCTTTCTTAATTTTCTAAAAATAATGAATACTTTTTTAGGAGATTTGGCTGAAATGCTTATCATACAGAAGCCGATAATAAAAAATTATTATTCTTTTGGAATTGGAGGAAATTGGAATGATATTAGGTTGCCAATCAATCATTATTTAAATGTGGATAATGAAGTCATCGAAAAAGAACTATGGCAATTTACCGATGCAGAGATAATTGGTGCTATAGATGGTAGGAATTAATTTAATAAAATAAATTATTAAAATTAAACAATTATGTATTTTATATAAACTTTAATCGGTTCAGGAATGAGATTAGCACAAGAAGTATTGTCATGGACCCAATCCAGACGGACCTTGCGCCTATCACAACTACTTGAATCTTATTACACTAACAGATGTACTAGCCATTTACATCCAGCACATGCTAGCAAAAGGAAATTATTTTTTAGCGAAATTATGAGGAGTGATGATAAATTTGTTGAACAAGTAAGTAAAAAAATTGGTTTTAATGTGGATCAAGTCGAAAAGTTTAAGATAAACTTGTTTCCCAAGGATTAAATAGTTGTAAAGGTGTAAGGGTATGAGATTAAAGTATATGAGGTTCCAGCCATTGTTGTTTTCTTACAGATGGCAACAGTTATCTTTAAAACTGTAAACCTTTCATGAAATTTCAAAGCCAAAGTGGATCAATATATCTTAATTGTTATTTCTGAATTATACAATTATGACCCATATTTAAGTCAGTCTTCATACTACATTCATAAGAAAATTATCCTCTAAAACGATAGAATTCAATAAGAGTTAATAAACTTCAACCTTATCTCAAAACTTTATTTAATAGACTTGATCCATTTTAGCTTTGGGCACACTTCATACAATTAAATTCTTGGACAAAATAATAAACCTTCAAACTTCATTAATTAATTTATTTATTGACCAAGTTGTCCATTTAAAATTTTTTTTCCCCTTTTCATGAAAATGTTGCCCATTATATGATTATGGTATTTCTGCTATTGTTAGAACAATAAAATGAAGCATTAAATAACATTATAAAAATAATGACTATATTAAAAAAATAGATAAAAATTTGGTTTATATTATAAAAAAAAAAAATGAGAACATTTTCTTCCCTAATTATTTGTTTCATAAATTACCAACTTAGCTCTCAATTTTATCATCACTAGAGACCGGATTTTTGTACAGTAAAAAACTCAAAATGTGCAAAATCTTGCAGTAAAAATCCAAAATACATAAAATTATCAAGTAATTATCACCTAAAAACGTGTAAAATCATCAATATTATTTAATTTATAACATTAATACATCAAAATCTTATCAGATTGTTAGTTAACCGAGAATCTTTTAGAAAAAAAAATGAAAATGAAATTCCAGATTATAATCAACTATTGTAATAACGATTATTATCAAATAATGCAAAACATTGAAGGTTTGAAGGAATAAATGAAGGCAGGAATTATAGTTACCTGTATATTATATGGACCAGACCAATATTAGATATTTAAATTTTATTAAAAATAATAATGAAAATTTTGTTTTTTAATATGGTGGAAATTTCCAATATCATACATTCCAAAATGCTTTTGTTAAAATTAAAAAAAAAAAAAAATTGGAATATACTAACGTTTGAGATTTTCAAATGTTCGAATATTAATGTTGAAGCTGTTTTTCTAAATCACTGAAAATATATTTTTGGAGATTACGTACTCGAACTCCCCAAAAAACAAAAAAAATAATTTTAATTCGTTGATAGGAATATTTTTTTCATATATGTTTATAGTTCCACAATGAGCGTCTTTCAGTGATTTCCTATCCTTATTGATTTTTTATAAGGCGTATAGAACTTTCTCATCAAATTCTTTGTCCTCACATTTCAAATCATGGTATTTTTATATCCATATTTTATTTTTTTACAAGAGAATAGATTTTACATTCAGCATTATCATTTTTTTTTTTTAAATAATGAAATGTCTACAAATCAATTTAAAGCCAGAAGAAATACTGAAGAGTTGGACGGTGAGTGAGAATTCAAGTCAAAACAATAACTATAAATGTCTTACTAACAAAGCAGCTTTTTATTATCCAATACTTTAGGCACAAGTTTTATTCCAAGAAATAGATCTCACTTGTGTTTACTTCTTCTTTTTGTAATGAATACTATTTTTGCTTCACACAGAATTATTTGTCTTCTTCATATTTTTCTATTTTGAATAATGAATTTAATTTGAACAATATAGTAAAATAAATATATTAAACAAATATAAACACACTCACTTATACATTTGTATTTATAAATCGTCTAATTTAGCACAAAAGTGTGCAATTTAATGCAACAAAAATCAAAATCGTGAAATTTAAGCCAAAAACGGCAATTTTGTGCAATATGAAATTTAAATATGTTATTCTACAGGTCCTGAAACGGATAGATATTTGGGTCCCGAGTTTTTACAAGCAAGCGATTAAAAAGTGCAATAACATGGAAATCCGATCTCTAATTATCACGAATCCATATTTTTGTATATTAATTCATTTTGTTTAATAAATTTTTAAATTACAATCATATTTTGGACATTTAAAAAATTCTTTCCTCATATTTAAGAATATATCTTTAAATATTTTTTGAATAATAAATCTTAATCTTAAAATTGTTACACACGCATTTTTCATATTTAATTATATTTCATCCTATTATAAAGGTTCTTGATTGTACACTACAACTTAGTCTGAAATGTTGATAAAGGAATTAATTAAATAAAGAATATATGAAGTCTCAAGGTTTATAATTATACTTTCAGATTTTAATGATATAAGAGTTTCAATTAAAAAGATTTAATATTTAGGAGTTATAATATCTTAAATGAGCTATGTATGAATTTTTAATGCTCGTTTGTTCTGCTGCTACTAATAAATTCCTGATTTCTAGGTACAAAGTTTTTCCCACATCCTGGCCGATTATATGCCAAATTACATAATAAACAAATCAATCATTAACACTGAAAGTGAACGGATAGTGGACAATTTCAACGATTATGCCTGTAAGTTTAATTGTTAATTATTTAAAAATACAAGTGATAAAAATAAATCATGGTCTATTTATTTTAGCAAATTATTTATTAACACAAGAACAATTCCATGAAGAAATTCATACAAAAATGAAGATAAGAATGAACGTTATTTATGACAATACTTGGTCTGAATATGAAACATTAACATTTTTACTGTAAGTAATATTATTTAATTAACCTAGAATAAGCTAATTATTAAAATTAAATATATATTTTTATTTTATAACGTTGCCATTATTTTCTAATTAAAACATAAAAAAAAAGCCAATTTTGAAGGACTATCACAAAATTTATTTGGCCTGAATCGTATCCTCATTTTACACCAAACTTCAAGGAATCCTTGCACAAACCTACTTAATTTAATAAATATTACTTTAAGGTACTTCAGAAAAAAATATTCTTCTACAATTACACCAATACAATTTTAATGATTGAAAATAACTTTCAAATATAACTTCATTTTTATTTGTAGAACTTCAGGAGAATTTTAATTATTTTAAATTAATTATTACTTCGAAAACTTGGATTTTATTGTTAATAAATTACTTTTAAAAACCTGTTCCACAATAACCCATGAAGGGTATTGGGTTCAGTACTACTTAGAGAAAGCACTATTTCTAGGTCAACGGTTGTGCAATGAGGTGATTTGACCTAGATCATGCTCAACCGCCAGGTTTGCCGCAGGATAGTCTACCGACCCAGAGTCACCCCACGGCCAATGAAACAGAATAAATAAATTTTCTGCCATGAGTTGGGATTCGAACCTGGGGTCTTTAGCATTGTGGAAGCTCAGTAAGAGCTATAATCTGTCCAAATTACTTTTAATAAAATGAAAATTAAAGTTTAATACTTCATAACAAAGAAATGTTATAATAAAATATAATGGCTGAAATTAAAGCAGCAGTATTTTAAATGTAAAAGTTTATATATATATATATATATATATATATATATATATATATATATATATATATATATATATATATATATTTGCTAAATAAATTATATAAAAAAAATCAGACCAAGGAATCATTAGAGCTCTTTATTATTTTTTTCATAACCAATATAATGATATAATAAATCTGCCTATAAACCTTTGTATTCATTAGATTTTATTATATTTTTCTGTACTTTAGTTTGATCACTTCAGCGGTACAATATACATAGACAAAGTAGAACAATTTATAGATACTAAGAAAGGATTATGTGCTGTGTCTGGAACACTTAGAACACTATTCGCTCAGACTTGTTAGTAGTTAGTTTAGTGAGTAAATAACGCATCAATCTCAAAAATTAAAATCAACGTTTTCACCTATGACCATCAGAATGGTGACAATTGACTTCTGGGTATCCCATTTACAAACTTGCTTTTATTTCTCAAAGAACATTGGCAACTGCAACAGATTTACAGGAAAATAATATTTAAGCAACCGAATACTTGATGGTTGACCATTATATACTTTAGAGGCAGGCGATGGTCCAGGTTGGTGGTCATAGAAAGACTAAATAGTGAAAAAACTACTTTATTTTAAGCCAATATTTTGATCCGACTTTGCAGGTCTTCTTCATGTGGGTATATGCAACATGGAATTTCAGTTGAAACTAATTATTAAGTATATATTATAATGGATGTATATATTATAATGTAATTATTAAGTATACGTTTCAACCGACTTCTATGCTGCATACATCCCACTGAAGAAGACCTGCAAAGTTGGGTCGAAACGTTGGCCTGAAATAAAATAGTTTTTTCACTTTCAATTACCGACACCCCAGACCATATCCTTCCTCCATTTAATCAACCATTAATTCTGAAATTTAAAAATAAATTAATCATGTTTAAGAGAATTAGCTGAAAGAATTGATGTATCATATCATGGAAGCAGTATCACGGTGATTGCGGGTGATATTGGGAACATTATAGTCAAAGATTGTAAATCAATCGGAGAATTATTTTACAACTGGAGGACATATGTCCATGGTAATCTTAAAATTACTGTAACTAATTTAATATATTTTAAAAAACCATAAACTTATATTCAACTCACAAATGTTTAACTAATTGTAGATAGAGGAACAATGCTTCTTCCAGAGATTTTAGCTAAATTGAACAAAATGACAATTGATGAAAAATCATCAGTGGAGGACCCCGAATGGTTTACTGACATAACAGTAATTTTAGGCATGAGTACAAGTCTAGACGACCAAGATATAACCGATTCCATGACTCTATTAAAATCCATTAAGCAACAAAATCCAGGTATCAATAATAAATAACAATTAAAATTATTTGGAATAAATAATCTCCGAGACAAAAAATAAAATAATTATGAATTAAAACTCAGATATGATTTTTGTGTACATAACATCAACACCGAGGGCACCAATGTACGTTAAACTTACTTCAGTCGCTGATTCTCAAAATGACCGGATTATAGCTCCCCATGTTAACAGCTACCATCAAATACTACAAGAATTGGATGACCTTCATTTCAGTAAGAAATAAAGCATTACCTAAGCAAAGAGATACCATATTGTCTAACATAGAATAGAAATACAGTTAAACCTCTGTATATCAAACATTGGGCAATGTTGAAAAAAAACCCTGAGCTACAAAAATATAGCAATTTTTCATCCTAATCATACTAAAAACTATTAAAATTATTTTTTATATTCAAAGAAGTATCAAATGGATTTTTCAATATCGATTCATTAATTTTATCAAACTCAATGGATTTGAATTGTTTCTGATCTGTAGGATGGTAAATTTTTTGTTTTCTGCTTTACAGTTTTACTTACTGGTCATATCTTCAAATTATTTTTATTTAATTATAATTATTTACATCTCTATTTTTCAATCCACTTTTTATTTATGTTTTACATGCTTAATGATTTTTATTTAGAAGCTTATTAGATAACAAGAAAGTCAAAGTTAAACTGAACCTAATATAAAAATTTCGTTCTATATTCTTTAGAGAATTTGATTCTCCAGTGAGTACTACAAATTCTTCTTCTTAAACAAGACCTTCTCTAAATTTTCATTGCTTTTTTAAAAAGTAAAACATTCTTATTTTATTATTATCTATTCTTATGATAAAAATAATAATTTTAAGTAATGTAAAGAAAACTTTATTTTAATAGAAACTAAAGATTCCTAAACAAAATTCGATATTTAGAGATTTTTTATATATAAAAGTTCAATGTACAGAGGTTAAACCGTATAACTATATAATTCATTAATAATTTTGAAAAATTAATTCTTCTTTTCATGTTATCCCTAAAATCTTCATACATTATTAGATCTATGTGGTACGACAAGGTGCAAACATAAGCCAAATCAAATATTTTTTAAACTTCATTCATAAATTTAAAAATATTTCAGATCCAATTGCAATAAAACCGTTGTCATGTATGAATGAAACTAGAAATAAAAGAAATATAGACAAACAAGATTATGTGACGCCAGGAGCAGTTAATTTTTATAGAATTCATCCTCAATACCTGTGCCAAGTTTCGAAAGCAATAGTCATCAGGGTAAGTAAAATAAAATAAAATAATTATTTTGTTCATATTTCTGTAAGTCAGAGGTAAACTGTCACAACATTTTAAAATTTTTACAGGAGACCATAAAGAAGTTTCAGATTGTACTGCATTAATTCATGGATTGTGATCAATATTTATACTTGAAGCTTGGCATATTTTACAAACCTTTTCTCTTTTTAAGAATATTTATAATCTAAAAAGGAGAAAAATGCAAATTTAATAATAAAATAAAAATCAATAAAATTGTAACTAACAACAGTTTACCTCTGCCTATACTTTAATATATAATTTTTTTTTTTCTTCAGATTTTAAATAAAAATTATGGAACTTTGGCGGCGTGCATATCAAGGGACAAAACATTTAATGGAAATGAACAATGCCAACAGATACCATTAAATGAAGAAATATCTTTTAAGATAAGATACCCTTGCCCTTCAAGAATATTGTACAGTGAACATCAAAATTGGAACGAACGTTGCAAGCCAATTTATCTCAGAATATCAGCGAAACAAAGTTTGAGTTTATGCACAGGTATTATTAGTATTTCTAATTTAAAATTAATGTAAATTTCATCAAAGGAATGCCAAGTATTGGAGCTTTTATTAAGATCTCTACCACAGCCTTTTGATAATTTTGTACATATTATTACTTTAATTATCATAGTCTAACTTCCACATTTTTTTATCTTTGTTTTTATTTCCTTTTTTAAGTCTAATTCATGGGTATTTTTTTGCATACATATTTTTAAAACACCATTTGATTAAAAAAAAGAAAAAAAAGAAACCAGAATATTAATACTAAGCCATTATTCCTAAAAGTAAAACAAGAAAAAATAAATACAAATAAAATCAAAGATCACAATAGGCAGAGAGTACTTCTTATTTATCTAACAATCTGATGCTTGACTTAAATTCATTACTCACAGTTTATTCCAATTTTACTGCACAGTTTTGGGTAAAAGTTTATACTTTTATAGCTTCATTTAAAGCTATATAACAGAACACTTTTTTAGAATTTTGAAACCCCAATAATTCTTCACACTTATGAGAATATATACATATCACTTCGGCCTCGTGAGCTTCTGTGGAAAAACAATGGTTTTTTTCCATCATTACTTCAATGGCATTGGTATCTCTTATGCCGTATCTTTCTGTTCTCCATATTCCTCCCTTAGCTACTGAACTTATATTGACTGTATCTGTCCCTATTAAAACAGGCATTTTATTCTTTAAAAAACACACACATATATATAGATATATCGTCGAGGAAAATTATTAAAATAATAATTTTTTCTTTAATTTCTCACAATTGATTTTTCACATGACAATATATTATATTTCATAAAATATAGATCTTTTTAAAAAAAACAAACATTGAGATCAATGTAAAGTAGAACTCAATAATAAAACTTTGAATTTAGTTATTTATCAATAAATGTTTTTTCAAATAAATAATTTCAATTTTAGAGCACTTGGTCATGAATATTATAATTTTTTTAAACAAAAATATTTTTTTCTTACCACTTCTGATTTCATGACAAGTACTTTTGGCATTCTATCATGATGAACAGGATATTTTAGTGGAACAGTCAAATATAATAATGTTATAAGAGTTGAATTAAACATATTCCTTTATGTAAACTTTTATATGATTAATGATTTTTTATTTTTATAGAAAATGAATGTAGAACACCTCATGATATTCGATTCCAAATGATAATTGAAGAGATGCACTGTTCTTCAGGAAAATATAATATGTGCAGCGGAAATGTACTTTCAAGTTCAATAAATTATTTATTGCTAGTTATAAGTTTGGTTATAAATATTTGTATTTTCAGGTGATATTTCTTTTAATGTTATTAATAGGAAGTCAGAAATTCATGGTTGTTTGGACGGTAACCTAAAGAGGTGGATTAATGTAATTTATAAAAATGTAACAATATTTCCACTACAGATGTTTGATTATTTATTTAAAGAGTACAACAAACATAACAATAGTACTATAAACTAAAATTTAACAATTATAACTTACACACCAAACATGATAATAAATCAGGTCAAAAATTAAGAGACAAAATTACATGTTAATACATCACATGATTAACATTTTCTTTTAACGGTTTACATAGGGTGAATTCAATTGTAAATAACTACACAAAGGAATAATTAATGCGATAAGGATTATAAAGTTGTTATTAGTTGTTACATCTGTCAAAGTACTCATTAAAAATGACTGGTGTTATTTTCCCATGCGCTGAATGGACCATTCCTGTTGGCAAAGAGGGCACCTATAGAGAGAAAAAAAATAGGATGTTAGAAATAAGTTTTTATCATAGGTAGTAAAAATTGTATGTTTTCCATAAGACTAGAGAAATTCAGTAGATTAAAAAGATCTTTAAGATATTTACTTAGAATATAAACAAATGACAAGTAGATTAAAAAGATCTTTAAGATATTTAGTTAGAATATAAACAAATGACAAAGTATACCACTAACAAGTGTACCAATATATACCAATTGGGGTGGGTATCTGGACTATTTGGGCCCAGGACGGATTAATGTTTTAGAAAAAAATAAGTAAAATTAAAAACTTACAATTCGTTAAAATAAAAATAAACACTCTTATGTGAATGGAACGAAAATTAAGGTAATATTTTGGCAATAAATTTACCAATCAATGAAATGAAGAAATAATAGACTTTTTTAGGAGCCTCAAGGTCACTGTAAATACTTTTACTGGTGTAAATATATTTATATTATTATTATATATATGAAAAACGTCTATTGTATATAGGATAAATATGAGTAATTAATATAAGGATGTATAATAATAAAATTATTAAAATCTCAATTATTGAATTTCTAACAACCTATCTTCCTAATTTCACAAAAATAAAATTTATTAAAATAAATGAATATTATTATTAGCAGTCCTGTCCAATTAAGAGAACTAATTGAAAAGGATAACACATTTCATCACCAAATTATAGAATACAAAACATATATCAATATATATTTAAGCAATTGTTAATTATTAACGAATGGTGCCTAAATCTAAATGTAATAATGCCACCAATATGTTGAATAAATTATTAGAAATGCATCATTATCAGAAAGAATATTTTTTGTTTATATTTAACACAAGTTTTATAACATGAAATATTTTTCTTAAAGAATTAAATTTCATATTTGTTTTATTAAAGTGTTTAATGTACATGAATACATATAAAGACAAATATGTTTATTTTAATAGTTCTGAATCAATTGAAGTAGTTTCATAATACACATAAAAGAGACTGGAAGTTCTAAATCAGAAAAAAACAAATTGGGAATAATAAAAATATTAAATTAAAATTGATGATAACCATACTCATAAGATTTTAAAAAGTCAGCATTTATTATTTTCTGCTCTATTAATTTTACTAATAAATATTAGAGAAAAAAACACTCTACCTGTTATTTTGTTTGACCCATAGGGACATGCAGCAATAATGAAATGAGTGATTGCAATCTCCCCACACAACGACACAGTCTTGTTTCCCGTATCTTGCATCCTGCTTGCTTTCAGCTTGGCACCTCAGACACGCATCTATAAACAAAGAAAAAAAAATTAAATATATAATTAAAATGGTAACTAAAAAATATATTATATTTTACACTGAACCACATTTTATCTATCTACAATACTATCAAACTCGTTTCCATTTATAATAAATTAAGATGATTTAATTTAATAAATAAATGGACCACTTTATAAGTATTAGGGCAATGGGCGAGATATTGTTTGTATGACTAACAAATTAATTTATAAAAATTAAATTATATCCATTAAAAATCGATTACTTTACTTAAATTAAATTGGAACAATTTTTAGAAGAAAACCGCTGGACAATAGCAGCACTATCTCAATTTATGGGGAAAAAAAAAAATAAATAAATAAAAGTCTAAACATGACATAATTCAAAATCTCCAAGGGATTCTTAAAGCTAGAAATAATACAAATAAAAAGTAACAATCTAAATTATATTTAATGTTTTATTTCCATCATAAGGGCTTGTTCTATATAACCATAGTAATAATTTAGTGACATAAAAAAAATAATTAAAAAGGAATAAAAGAAAAAAAAGTACGTGACCCCGACGTGATTTGAACACGCAACCTTCTGATCTGGAGTCAGACGCGCTACCGTTGCGCCACGAGGTCTTAAGGATCAGCGACTTGATAACTACAAACCAATCACCGGCTTTCAATAGAACCAATAATATTTTCCTTTCAAGATTAATTTTAAAATATAAATTGTTTCCTATTTTAAAACTTTAATTAACATATAAATTATCTTATTGTTATTTATCCTGGAGATAAATTAGTATGATTCACAATAAAATGTTAATTTTTTTTGGTATCTTTAATAAGAGTAAATGTGGTAAAATAATATCCTAAATAAATTAATGTAGTTACATTAGTAATTCAGTTATATAGAACTATTTATGAAGATAAGGCAATACTAAAAGAAAAAAAATTAATTTTCGCAAATGCTCACAAAAGAACATATTATATGACAGTATTTTTGAAAATATTTATGGAATATACCGTGACCTTTATTGGCAATTGTAATTCTTTTAAAATAAAATGTAAGTAAATAATAGTCAAATTTGTTGTTTAATAGATAAATTTCAACATAATTAAAAGTCCATCTATTTTCGATGTTAATTTCTTTTTCATTTGTAACACAGGGCATAGAAATTGTAAAATTTCAGATGAAATTATTAATTTTATTTTGGTTTTATTCCTGATATAAGGGAACGTTCACTTGTAGTTGTTTGTAATAGTTTCCTGTTTATTATGTTCAATTTGAATTACCACCTCTGCTTTTCTTTTCTATATATTGTAATGTAACAGATAAAAGAAATACTGTAATATGCTTTTATTTAATAAATTGTCTAGATGTGAGTTTTAAATGTAGACAAATATTTAAAAAAAACTCAAAGAAATACATTGTGTTCAGCAACTTATTAAAAGTAGTAGTAAATATGTAAATTTTAATTTCAATTCGAATTTATGTTCCTTTAATCACATATACAACATGCCTATTCAGCAAATACTGGCTGAGTCAATGAACTGGAAGGAAAGATTATTATAATATATGTATGTTTTTAGACATAACAATGTAATATGAAAAGTTTATTCCTATATCTAATAATTAATTTAAACACAGAAGGATAATTATACAACACAATTTTTATATAATCTTAATTCAATGTATGTACTTAATTTTTCTACAAGATAAATTGTGGTGTATTTATTTTCATCTTATAATTCATTAGATAATAATTATGATCCAGGGATTACAGTTTATGTTTATATTTAACAAAAATAAGCAAAACTGTGAGAAGTAGGAACAATATTTAGGTAATAGAAACATGAGAAAGTTTGTAAAGGAATTATAAAGAATGAAAACTACCACATGCAAGGACAAATTAATTAAAAAATGTGTTAAATTTAAAAAAAAATGCAAAAAATTTCATCAAGCAATCTAAAAATACCAACTCAAGAATTGAAAAAAAAAATGTATTGAAAATAAGTAGTTTAGAGAAAATGTATACCTTAAAAGAAAAAAATCTTTAAAGTAAGAAAAAGTACAGAAATTTAAGTTAATATTCATATAATTTGTTGATGCAACTACTAAGAATAAAGTTAACATTAACATAAAAAATAATCACTACTAACTTCACACAAGTATGGTCGAAAAGCACTTTTTTTATTACTCCAATTTCTCTCTAAATTTGGCAAACATAATATATATGCCATAATATATATGGCAAACATAATATATAAACATAGTATATATGTTTATATATACTGCTCATGGCAGTTTCCATAACATAATCTTAACGTTGTATGAAGTAATTGAGTTGCATAATACATTTTTGTAAGTAGATACCATTAGAAATATAATTAAACCATCATTCATGTATGTTACTCTTGTGTTATAATGATTACTGTTTTAAAATTGTAGTAGATCATTTTTTGTAAATATATGTAATTTATCCTGGTCTTATACTGTATTGTTGTAATTGAAAAATAAATAAAGTTAAACAAACTATTATTACAAACTCATTTGGAGCCATGGTTAAGAACAGAGGAATAACAAAGAAGTATATTTTCATAAAAAGATATAAATTATTTATATCTTCAGACTATCCATTTAATCAGATTTTTATGTATTTGAAATGTATCCTGAGCAAACCGATCAAAAGAAAGACTCACTTATTAGCTAGCTTCAGCACTCCACATATGGCGAGATCAATTGATTTGGTCCACCTGTCATCCAGAGGTGACACATTATTACAGTGATACCAAACGGAAATTTTTAATTTAATTTATAAACCACATTTAAGCTTATAATAACCTGTTACATTGAAATTAGCTTAGTCTCAAATATTAATAATTGATAAAGGAAAAATTCAATGACTTAATACAGCAGTTCAAACAGGTTTCAGAATTGAAATTATGTTTGTTTTTTTTAAACTAAAAAAAGTATTTCCATCTAATTAATATTTATCTTTTTTTTTAACACAATTAATAGAAGAAAAAAAATTCAAAACTGAAAGTTATTCATACCGATATTTTTGTAACATACTTCACACAACAAATATCGTTAATTTTAACAACAACTTATTTAATGATCAACAAATTTTATTATTATAATACCACGGCCTAAAAACTAAGCAACCCATCATTTAACTTCATCAGTCTCCAAACTCAGGATGGATTGAATTTTGGTATGGTGAGAGGAAAGTTGGGAATGATGGAATTCCAACTGCTCTGAATCACGAAGGACA